CGAGCCTCGCGCCGCTCTCGCGAATCGATGCTCGCGTTAATTAATTTCACTCGAATGGGACTCGCGTTACTTCGATTCGAGTGCCGCGTCGTTTCATAATCGACCAGTTTCGAAAACTCGTGATTACACTTGTGTCACATATTCGACCAGATTCGATTCGATTGGACTGGTACGTTTAGTTTCAGTCTCGTTAATTGCTAAATAACGTATTTAGAATTGTGTGATAGAAATAACAGACCTGGTGGAGGTCTCGTTTTCCTAATTAGAAAATTCCTTAACGCTTCCTGTTCTATTCGATCTCGCTGCACGATCGCGGTTAAATTGGAAATCGCGGGGATTCGAATTACAAATGTAACTCCTGCTATTATCCTCGTAGGTTGTTACAGGGATAGTGGCTTTAAGGTTTCTCAATGTAAACCATACGTTCATGCACTGTTAATGATTTTGTAATTCCTTAAATAGCGCGACGTACGTCCTTAAGCGTTAGATAAGGTACCTGATAAGTTTCATGTAACCAAATTAATATGTAATAATATTTTATAATATATTGAACATGTAGTAGTAATTTTGTAATAATATATTACAAAATATATTGCTAATAATTCCGTAAGGGGTTTGTGACATGTAATAATATTGTACTATATATTGTATATATGTAGTAGTAATTTTGTAATAATATATTACAAAATATATTGCTCATAATTCCGTAAGGGGTTTGTGATATGTAATAATATTGTACTATATATTGTATATATGTAGTAGTAATTTTGTAATAATATATTACAAAATATGTTGCTAATAATCCTGTAAGGGGTTTGTAATATGTAATAATATTGTACAATATATTGTATATATGTAATATGAATTTTGTACTATATTATTACAATATATATTAACATATTATTACAAAATTACTATATATATTGCCAATAACCCTGTAGAACGTCTCACGGCTTAATAAATAAAAAAATTATTTCGCTCTATTATTTCGTTGTACAGCAACGAAAACGCTTCGCTTGGAACCGCGATTAAATTTACTCCGCGAATAACCGCGACGTTGGTCCGAATCCGGCAAGAATTCTTCGACGGTCGCGTTTCTATGCGATAAAAATCGGTTGCTCGGCGAACGTCGAAGTTAAAGTCGAATTCGCAATTTTTCGGCACCGCGATTCGAAAGGGGAAGCAAGTCCCATTCGGCCGGACGGTTTCTAAGAAGTCCGCTCGGCGAGAGAGAGCTTTCTCGTCGGTTGATCAAACTGTGAAAAAAAAAGGAGGGTCCGAGATGTCGGACTCGCGAGGGAGAATTCCACCCTCTTCCACCTTCGTTCCTCTCCGGCGGAGTCTGCACACGCCTCGGTGAACGCGAGTGAGTTTGAAAAGAGGGGGAGGAGATTTCTCTCTCCCCCCCTCGACGTCTCTGAAAGTCAACTCGAGGAGAAAGAAAGCCCGGGCTCGCGAAGGTCAGACCGCCTTTGCTGCTGGTCGAGGATAGGCTAACTGTTCCGCCGGACTTCCAGAGATAACTACCTTTGACGACTCCCCCGGGGAAGGGGGGTGGTGGCTGAACCGGAACTGCTCATTCACGTGAAAACAAATTGGAGATGTAATATTTTTCGAGAGAAGTTCCGCTGCTGCCTCCGCGGAGCGAAGGTAATTTCGACAGGACCGGCGCGCGGCTGTGGCCGAGGCTTTATTAACCGTGGAACTGCGCGACGCTGTTCCGTCGCGTGGCGAAAGAAATTCGCTAAATTCGACCCTAATTCGCGCGCGAATTGTGCACGAAAGTGGATCATTTGGGAAGAGGTGCAGTAATGTCTCCCATACTGACGCTCGGATTGTCCACCGAATTGGATAATTTGGGAAGAGCAGATACGATTGTTCGAGCCTCGCGGCTCGTTTTTATAATTGCGGATAATTTATAACTGTAAAAATAAACCGCAAGGATCGAATAATCGTATCTTCTCTTCCCGAATTGTCCATTTTCGTGCGCAATCTGGGCGTCAATTAGAGAGACATTACTGTATGCCGAATACAGTAATGTCTCCCATACTGACGCTCGGATTGTCCATCGAATTGGATAATTTGGGAAGAGGAGATACGATTGTTCGAGCCTCGCGGCTCGTTTTTACAGTTACCGATTGTCAACGACTGTAAAAACGAGCTCGAATAAGGCTCGAATAATAGCATCTCCTCTTCCCAAATTGTCCATTTTTGTGTAAAATCTGAGCGCCAATTAGGGAGAATTTACTGTTATTCGAAATGATTTTACGCCAGCGACACAACTCGCCGCTTTTCCACGAAGGAAATGCAACCCTTGACCTGATTATGGTGTCATTGTAATTGTAATTATTTCGAATGCAGTCCTCGATTAATCAGTTAACTGTGTTCGACGAGTATACTCGTCATGACGAAGCGACAGAATTTTGTGTCGCGACGAGTATACTCGTCGCGCGTAAAAATGAGCGACCATTGGCTATTTAAATTGTAATTTTAGTGAAAACAGAAACGTCTTCTCAAATTTCAAGATATTTAGAATATTTTTAGGGCAATCTTACGCAGCAGCAATTTGAATTCGTAACTTTTATAACTATTTGATTTTTTCTGCATTTTTTCGCTTATTATGTGTGCAGTACATGTTAATGTTAAGCGAATAAGTAAAAAAATTGACACTATTTTCGACTGATTTTCGAAAATTCGTATTCATTTTCAATTGAACGTCGGAAAGAGTTAAAAAATGCCATCGACTGCAATGAATTTTAACGTTCTAATTTCAGTTTCGTTAATTAACCCCCTTGACGTACCATTTTCTTCGCGGTTACTGCGATTAGAAATTGTTCCATGGCAATAATCCCTTAGAAGAGAAACAAGATCGATGCTTATCGTGTGCCTAAATCTTTAATCGATGCTTATCGTGTGCCTAAATGTTTAAATATTGACGACAGAAGTGATTCGAATTTTATTCCAATTTCAAAGATCGAGAAGTAACATCTCATACTCGATAAGTTATTACCAGAAATTTTCACGACGTGTCGGACTCCTCGAAGCACGGGGCAAAGGGTTGAAGAAATCGTCGGCGCCGATAACGACTGTTCAGTTCGTTAAATCCGAAGGCCGACCGCGTACTTCGAAACTCTGTTATCGACCAAAAGACGCGGCTGCGGTCACTCTTCTTACGTTGCAACGTTTGTTGCGCAACAACCGTACATTCGTGCAAGGGGTGGCCGCTATTTTTAATGCGCCGCGTACACGGGACAGAAAGTTGATTTAAAGCGGAACAGGTCGAAGCGAGCGGATTTTCAAGCGGCGAGACGCGCGACCGCCGCGTCGCGTCGCGTCGCGTCGGTAGACGACGGCGGTGCGCTAACGAAAGAAAGCAAAGGTCAGCGACGCGTGAACGTGTGTTTCTTTTCTCCTTCTCGACACACACACGCACACACACACACACACATATACACGCTCGCACACTTCGCTGCTGCTAACTACTGTTCTCTCGGCGAGCTATACCTCCTCCAGTCCGATTCTAAAGGTTCGTCTTCTCGTGATAAATCGCGACCTTTGTTCCCCGAAGGCATGAAAAGTCACGGCTCTTGTTATGAGAAGTCACGTTACCATGACAGCAGAGAAGTCGTGACCTTTGCCGCGCCACGAGTCCGGAATAATTTCACTGTGAACAACTGCGTTTCTTTTTTCTCTCTAATCCAGCCGCGATCAAAAACGACATAGGCTAATCTCGAGGATACCGTCGATCCGGTGCAGCTGCACTTTTCCTTGGACACTGGGTATATAGTCTTCGAGGAAATCACTGGTGCCGAAGAATCGAAGAAGACGCGGTCCTCCGCGCACTTGGGAAAAGAGATTCGGAACACCACTTTTCGAATTCACACTTTTATCGAGAGGCTTCGAACGGATAGGGGTTGTTTACCCCCGTCGGATCACTCGGGACACGGTAATTACGATCGCGGGACGTACCAAAGAATTAATTTTCTAGCTGGAAACTTGCGAGCCGCGAGACCGAACTCTTCTCGAGCACCCATAAATCACCCTCTTAAAACACCCCCCCGAGAAAGTCTTCCCCCGTCGATGGACAGAAAGCTCGCAAAAATTTGCCGATCGACCACCGACTTCGACTTCACGTTGGAACACGGCGCGCTCGAAAATCGACGGAGAAGCACCCCTAACGAGCTTAAGGGTTCGTAAACCCTTCTCGGAGAGCCGCGATCGTCCCTCGAAGCATTCTAGAAGAGCGTCGGAACGTGAACGATCTTGAAATCATTAACACGCGATTTACGGATTATCGACAGTCTCGTGTTCCAGATAGGGGATGATGTCCACCCGACAGTATTGCACCCTTAAAAATCAATCGAGAACCACCGTAGAGAACGCGAGCAAAAATCCTCGACCGCGTCGCGATCGCCAGAGAGACCCCCAAGGTCTCGCGAACTCTCCCCCGAGGCTCCCGATCATCCCCCATCCCCTAAACTTCCCCTCGGATATATGAACAAACTCGCAATCTCGAGCTATAAATCTCCGCTGTCGAACGCGAAATATTAACGTACCGTTCGCGACTCGTCGACGGTCCTTTCCTATTCGTTACAAGGGATGTCGCCCGGCGACATCAACCCTTAACTGGTGCAAAGGGATCGCGAGCGAGCCCAACGTTGCGTCTCTGTTCGATCTCGCGTCCGGAATCGTGTCAACTTTTTGTTCGAAGTCGAGTATACTGCTCGTTCGTTCTACGTTTGTCGCGTCGGTTGTTAAGGGTTGTTCGAGATCGTCGTACCAGTTTAAGGGTTGAAAATCGAGCGAAACCGCGGTGGAAGACGCGAGGAAAGATCGACGGCCAGGTCGCGGTCGCCTGGGTCACCTGCGAAGCCCGCGGGCCGCGAACTCTCCCCGAGGCCCGCGATCGCCCGAACTACCCCTAGACTTTCCAGCCCCTGGAAAACCCCGCGGGACCTCGAAAAAACGAACTCCGAAACGAACGCGAGTCTCATTGGTACCGTTTGCAGCGAGGCAGGTCCCGGAGCAGGGGTTGCGGTCCACCCTGGTGGTGGTGCGACACGTAAGATCCGTGTGTCTGGGGGTGCACGGTGGTTGTACGGGGTGCGTGACTAGTCCTGGAAGCGTAGGCGGTGCGGCGCGGCGCGTACTCGTTCGGGTGTTCGATGGTCGGCGTGGTGTATGGTCGCGCGCGCGCCTCGCAACTGGCCTCGGTGTGTCTCTCTAGGGGGCAAACAGCCCTCGACAGCCCTCGACGGTCGTCCGAGGGGTTGACCCAGTTCGAGGCAGGGGCGGAGAGTGCGCGGTACGGACGCCAGCACGTCGCGATACCAACTGAGGCGGCCGACGCTCTCGCGAGGGCTGCGCGGACCCTCGTTTTCCCCTTTCGCGGCCCTCGCAACCCCTGCCCCGAGCTTCCTCTCGCCCCCCTCCGAGATCTCGCTGCCACCCCCCCGCGACCCCCCATCCGACACTCTGCAGGCCGCCGAAAAATTTTCTTCGGCCGAGATTTAATTTGTTCTCCTTCGGCGAAACGAGGGAACCGGACGATCTCGGTTTTTCGAACGCGACCCGCGCAATTTGCAGCGAATTCGCCCCAATCGAGGCTCGGATTGCGCGCAAAAATGGACGATTGGGAGAGGAAGAGCAGCTACGAAATAATCGGACGAGCCTTGCGGCATGTTTTTGTAGTTACCGATTGCTAATAATTGTTTAATCGCTTGAGAATTACCGAGCGACGAAATTGTGTCAATATCGAAGATCTTTTGATGGAACTGACATCAACCGATGCTATTCTTTTTTTTTTGGAATGTCAAAGCTGAAATGTTGCAGAACGAGAGAAAGATAGAGATGGTTCGCAGTGCTGCTAAAAACGCGGCAGAACGCTTTTTACTCTCGACGATTCAAGTTCGACTTGAAATATCCTCGATCGCGATTCATCCGACACCGCGAACAGTTAAACTTTGTCTCGCCGGTTTCAAATCCGGTCGCTAGTTTGATCCACCACTTCAGGACTCCGAAAAATAGATCGATCTGTTTCGAATGGGCACGAAAATCAAACGAAATTGATTCGACAAAATCATTCGATAACGCGCTGATTATTTCTCGAACCAGATTTGAAGTCAGCGTGTCAAAATCTACGGAAAACGATGTACGACGCGTTATTAAAAATAATAATAATAATAATAATAATAAACTGTACATTGCAGTGGGCGAATCGCAATTTTGTTGGAACACCACGAGTTCAACATAAACTGCCAAGGTTAAAAAAAAAGTGCAGTTAATTAAACGTAATTAAATTCATGCCGCGTTCTCTCTATTATTTTCCCCTTGTTCCGCAACATTTCGGCTTGAAATGTTAAAAAACAAAAAAAAAAGAAATAGAGCATCGCTTTATCCTCGTTCCTATCAAAAGATCCTTGATTTTGACACAACTTTGTCATTTTACCGCACTGTGTGCGCCACCCCTCGGACAACACGAACCACCCCTCTACCACGGATTCTCGAACCAGGGACTCCCCTCCATATTGATTAGTGCGCGCAGTCCGCACGAGCCAGCATCCAACCTACGATGCTACACACGCTGTCAACATGCCTGCCAAATTCGAAATTTCGTCCGGGGGTGAACACGCAGCCTCCGCGGGCTGAGGGCCAGGGGTAAGAGAGAGTCAGGGGTGAGAGTCTTTGGCCGATAGGTGCGTGAGTCCTTCGATGCGACGTCGTCACTCTCTTTCTCTCCCTTGATCTCTTGCTCTCTTGCAATCTCGCTCTCTTTAGTTTTCTTCTGTCTCTCTTGATTTCTCTCGCTCTCTCTCTCGCACGCTCTCGCTCTTTCTTGCTCTCTCTTGCTCTCTCTTCGGGTGTCTCTCGCTCTCTCCTGCTCCCTCTTCTGGTGTCTCGCACTCTCTCACTCTCTCTCGCTCTTTCTTGCTCTCTCTTGCTCTCTCTCTCTCTTGCTCTCTCTCGCTCTCTTTTGCTCCCTTTTGCTCTGTCTCTCGCGCTCTCGCGAGCTCTCTCTCGCTCTCTGCGAGCTCTCTCTCTCTCTCTGCGAGCTCTCTCGCGCTCTTTTTCTCACGCTCTGTGTCTCGCGCCCCGTCTCTCTTGCTCTCTCTTCTGGTGTCTCTCGCTCTTTCTCGCTCTCTTTTGCTCTCTCTTGCTCTGCCTCTCGCGCTCTGTCTCTCGCGCTCTCTCTCGCGCGCTCTCTCTTTCTCGCGCTCTTTTTCTCGCGCCCTGTCTCTCGCGCTCTTTTTCTCGCGCCCTGTCTCTCGCGCTCTCTCCCGCTCTCTCTTACTCTCTCTTCTGGTGTCTCTCGCACTCTCTCGCTCTCTCTTCTGATGTCTCCCGCTCTCTCTCACTCTCTCCCGCTCTCTCTTACTCTCCCTCGCTCTCTCTCCCGCTGTCTCCCGCTCTCTCTTTCACTACCTCTCTCTCTCTCTCTCTCTCTCTCTCTCTCTCTCTCTCTCTCTCCGGTTCTCCACTATGGTGGGTGCAAGCTAGCGGCGCTTGAATGGAACCATTGTGTTATTTGTTGCGAACTACGGGACTGGATTTTGTAATGAAATTGCGTTTCGGGCTTTGGCCGCTTTGTGCTCGCTGTGGCACAGCAGCTCTCTCTCAGGCGGACCTGCTTTTCGGGGATTTTTAAGGGGAAGTTCGTAGTCGAGTTGTAGGCCGTGAATGGGGAAGTGCTAATGGGCTGGAAACATGAAGCCATTCGGGGAAGATTCTAAGAAAATTACGAGCAACCGTTCGCTGAGAAAAGACATCTCGACTTCGATGGCCGCGGCCGCCGAAAAACCCTTTCGCGCGGATTTCGTTCGACGGGGCTCGATTTGTTCCACGCGTCCGCGCGATCGAGAAGATCGCTCGCGTCTGTCTCGCAATAATCTACCACAAATCGCACCTAATTGTCTTTCGGGTGCTCCGTCGACCCGTGCGTCCATCGACGCAGCGATCAATTACATAGGCGTAGGACCGGCGCAGGGAGATTCAGAGGGATCCCGAAATTCGGCAATTCCGGGAGTAATTACCGTATTCGACGACGCCGATTAGACTACGTCGCGGCCGATCGCGTTCTAGATTAGACCTGGAACACCGTAGGAAAGGGGTTGCCGAGAGAAGTCGGTCCCGTATGCGGGATAAAAATCGAAGATCGGGTGTCGGAGCTGTTCTCCTCGGTAGCCGAGAAGGCGGCGACTCGTCTACGGGGTTGTTGACTGGTTGCGTGTGTCCTTTGAACGTGCCACCCCGCTCCCCGACGGCGACAGCGACTCGAGCGCAGTCGAGTGAAGGATGGCTGAGTGAAGAATCGAGGATTGAATGGGGTGGCAAAGTTGGATGATGACAGTCGAATAGAATTATTCGGAGACGGCGCTAGCTGGAAGAAATTGCCTCGTTTGAGCCGGTGTCCCCGGGCTTGCCGGGGATAATTAAGGGTCGGCCGGGGGACACGGTTCTCGTCCCGTTCATTTAATTAAACATAACTCTTTGCTTCCACCGGTTTTCAAAAAGCGCTGTTAACCCCTCGCGCTATTTCCAAGTCGCGGCGAAAAAGAAAAAGAAAAAGAAAGAAAGAAAAAGGAACGTTCGCGTGACCCGGGCATTGTTAATTAGCACTACGCGCGGAGAACACGGTCGCCGGCGGTTGGCGGCAGCGTGCCGCGCGGCGGAGGGACGGCGACGGGGCGGGGAATATTTGTAATTGTGTTCGAAACAATGAGCTCGAACGCGAATCGTCCGGAGCCCAGGCTCGTAATTAAGTTACTCGGCCTCTATATGCGCGAGTCCAAGTAATTCGAACGAATCGCCCCGTGAAATTTTCGAGCCGAGAGCGTATTCTACGCGTGCCCGCGCGCTCGCGCGCGCGCCGAGTCATTAGTATTGAAACACATAAATTATAACCCGGCCAGCGATTATGGCCCGTTCTTCCCTGTTCAACGAGGCCGCCGCCGTTGCCGCCGCGGCGCTAACTCGCCACCCGTTATAATTCACCCGACATCGCAAAAATATATTAATACCTTTATTTCCGCCACGGGCTGTTAACTGCATTACGGAGCCATCGTCATTAAGGAATTACGCGCTGTAAAATCCGCCGCGAAAACTCGGCCTTTTACCCACCTTGTTACGCCCCGCAAACCCCTCCGCCGCCGATGGCCGCCATTTGTTTAATGCGATGCTCCGCGGCGAAACAATCGGATTGTTGGGAAAATCGAGCGAATCCGGAATCTTTAAAATCCCTCGCCCGCATAAAATTGAGAGCGTGAAGAATGATTCGATTTTTCCCTCAATTTACTTATATTTTATTGTATTGTGTTTATTTATTATGTCGAGAATTATGTCGACAACCTGTATGCCGTGATTCCTCAGGTCATTCGCAGCAACTTTTTCCTTTGCAAAAATGTTCTCCGTGGCTTCGTTCACGAGTTATCAGCGAAAAACAGTGACCAATGAGAGGCGAGCTCTGTTGACGCGAGGCGGAGCGGTCGAAGCGCAGTTCCGCCGATTGGCTCGGCCGCGTAGGGCCACGCGAGCCGGCCTCTCATTGGTCGCTGTTTTTCGTCGATAACTCGTTAACGGAGCCTCGGAGGAAATTTTTGCAAAGGAAAAAGTTGCTTCGAATGACCCCAGGAATCGCGCCTTCCTGTTTGCCAACATAATTGCTCATGTAATAAATAAATATAAGCGATATAATAAGATATAAGCAAATCAAGGGAAATTAAATCGCGTGACACGCTCAAACGAAATATACCCTTTTCAATCGTCGCCATCGCGGTATAGTTCGTCAAGCCGAACAATTTCAGTCCATGTTGCAGACCTCTTTGCTACATCGATTGTCGAGTTTCATCGCTTGCACGGGGACCGTTCGCAGATTGTCCTCGCTGGGACGAGACCGCGAATAAAAGGACTCGCATTTTGCGCGCGGCCCGCTCGCCGCGCGGTGCAAATTAATTTACAAGCTCGGCCGGCATAAATTTACACCGCGCTAGTTTATTTAGAAGTTCGCGCGGCATAAATTCTATTTTACAAGTCTACTTCCGAGCTGATACAGAGAGAGAGAGAGAGAGAGAGAGAGAGAAAGTGCGTAGAAGATTACCGAAACGGAAAATTCTCCGGGGCTGAAAAAAAAGGAACTGCGGCCCGTAAATCATTCGGCCCGTTTATCCGTTAATTATCGATATCGACAGTGGCCTAATACACCGCCGTTCGCATAATATGAAAATTACACTTCGCCGGGACAAGGGGCGTTGCGCGCCGGCCGTGGGGGTGGGGAAGGGGGAGGAGGCGGTTTAACCGCGGGGACGCAGGTGTGAATAGAACCGCG